TGTTACAGTTCGAAAACATGTATAACTCCGNTGAGAGTATATATCGGCAGTACTGGTCCCAGTGTTTCCTTTAAAATACTTGGTAGTTTATTTATATGGCACACTAGTCTAGCGAGATTATCTGTATCTTGGCATACTCAAATATTGGGGCCAAAAAAAAAATTTTGTCCCCCGCAATGTTGTTGTTAGTGTGATGCACAAATCCACGACGATCCCTCCATTATAACCAAGTAAGGCCTTCCACTAGCAGTATTACGCGTTTTGAATGGAATTGCAATGTTAGTTCTGAGAAACAGTCGCACGCATCAGAGCAAAGGGCAGTGCACTGAGTGCTGCTTAACACATTTGCACGATTTCTCTGCACCCCTTTTGCATGGTCAAGCCGGAGGAGTCCGGCGCAAACAGGCCTGGGTCGCTCTGTAGCGTCGGTCCCATGTGAAAAAAATTCCGATCCACCTGTGTCGCTTCCTCTTCCACCCCCAGTCAGCCTGAGATGGGAGTTCTGGGCTGCAACCATCATCTCATGTGATCTGTCCGCCAGGCAGTGACCAGATTGGTAGGCAGCCATTCTTTGTGTGTTGAATCAGTGCTGGGCTCATGTTGGGGGAGTGCCATCAATTGTTTTACTTTTTGGTGAACAGCTGCTTGGCGTGCCTGATTGACTGATTTCCTGCTGCTAGTGCGGTCATAGAGCAATACCACGAATCGCTCCAGAGGCCCCACCAGTTCGTCTATGGCGTCTGGGTGGCAGCCAAGACACAGAAGGCTCTAGTGACGTCATCCAAGGTCCCGTCGCTGTATGCCCACGCCGTCTCTTCGCCCCTGCCAGCCAAAAGATGATACTGTGTCCAATGCCAGTAAATGGAATCACATCCCGAGTATATTGGCAATGGTGTCTGCCCGTCTTAGGCTGTGCCAAGTGGTAGGTCTACTTGTGGTGCGGATCCTCCCTCTGGCATACCAAACTGTTGTACATTAGTAGCTGTGAGAGGGTGAGGGCTGGTTGAGGCGTAAACACAGAGCTGGACTGGGTTGTGATGTTTGGGCCATACAACACCATGGAAACTAGTGACAAGAGTGAAACCGGCACTGACTCCTCCTGGCAATGGGCATCAAATGAGCCACGGAAGTCTTGCTTCATCTTGAACATGTCTCTCCTAACTATGTTAGCAGCACTGGCCAGAAGAACTGCCTCATTGTCAGCATCGCGCCCACATGCTTTCCCCAATGCAGCACCAATATCTCCATTGCATACCAGAATCACATCACGACCTTGCTTGTGAGCGTCCATGTCTGGGAAGTAACTCAGTATCCTGTTCTTGAGTTGGGTGGAATGTACACGCCCTGTCATATGCGTGCCCAGTTGAGCCAGCCTGGTACTGTACAGATTCACCAGGTCTGTTAGCTTGAATACTGGTGCAACAAGATTGTCCATGCGCACTTCCTCTATATAGGTGACAAGTCCAGCGAATGCAATGCCATGGTTAACATCGTCTACATTCGATTCTTGTGATTTCGTTTCCCTTGACACTGAGCGTGGTACTTAGCCTCCTGGGCAATGAGGTCTCCAGCACTGAGTTTGGCTAGGAGTGGTTTGTCCTGTAATTTTAGGGCACACTGCCTCACACGAATGTCAAGTTCGAATGTTGATGCATTTCGCAAAGCATCTTCTGCTGCAGGTTTGTCACAGAAGAAGCATATATCTGTTGAACAATGTTCATGTTCATTGCTCTGGCGGGTGAACTTGTGGGTGTCTGGATCATCTTCGTGGGGCATTTTCCTCTTTTCAGCCCTCTGAAGTTTAGTTTTATTATACTGCAGTCTGCAGGAGTCGTGCCATTTGGCTTTGTGATGCCGGAATGCTGCCTCGATCTCCTGACCCTCATCCAGTTGTGACAGTCTTAGTGTTGTTGGCAAGCAACTGATCTTGTCGAAGGCTACAAGATGCTCGGCTATGTTCTTGTATCCTGCGCAACCTGTGGCACGTGCTGAATTAGAGGGACATTTCAGCACGAAGGATACCATTGCGCTGCCATATAATTCAAAACAAAAGGCAGCTACCTAAGCGCTATTGGCTAACTGAGGCTCGACGGCCTGTGGGCTCGCCTGGGAGATTAGGCATGCAAACTCGGCCGAGATAAACCTTTGACCCGGTACACCAGCTACACAGGCCACCTTGGTACATAGCTGGCATGGCCTTCACGCCACGCAGCGCGACTGCCAAACGCGCGATGAATTAGCTCGTCGAGTGTTGCGTCGATTCTCCAATCTCCCGCGAGCGCCACAACACCACATTCAGCTATGCGAGAGAGCATACAAGCGACTGCGCGGTCAGTCTTTGCTGGCCTTGTTGTCTGAATATAGGCGCACAATGGGCTTGATTGATGGCCAAGAATGGAGAATCGTGTCGTACGTTTTAGGCTGCTATCTCCGGATTGCGGGTGTTACGAGGAACAGCGATTTTCGCAAATGATCTTGGCGAATGTATGTGCCTCCGATTTTGAGCATCCAAGTGGATGAGTTACGCGTAGTAAATCGTAGGTTATTATATAGGCTAGTTAAATGACGAATTTCCCTTGTTTATTGATGTTCACACTGCCTAGCCCTATTCTCTACTCCTGATTATATATATAATATATTATATATTATAGTATATATATATATATATAATATATATATATATATATATATATAAATACAGGTTCTGCCGCAGGATTTTTTAGTGCCGGGCGGCATCCAGCTTGCGATCGAAGTCCGGGAAGATGCAAGAGCGCGTAGGCAGGCGAAGCCAATCTAGGGGGGTCCGGGGCATGCCCACGCGGAAATTTTAATTTTGATAGTCTGAAACTCCAATTCTTGCATTCTGAGCATAAAAACGCCCATTATGCAAACTTTTTTCTTTTTTTATATCAAAAATTAGTGGGCTGGGCGAGATATATAGTGCGGGCACACCCGCCGCATGGCCGCCGCGCCACCGTGGGCAGAAAGCCGCTGAATATAGTATATATAACCTATATATATACCATACGTAAAGGCCAAGTTGAAATCCTTATATATATATATATATATATATGTATGTATACATATATACAGGTAGGTCCCATTTTAGGAATGGTGCCATTTTACGTATTTTCACATTAACGACGCTTTCCTGAAAATTACCTAAAAACTCAATAACCACTGTAGCACCTCGCAGCAACGCCTGTGAGTCGCAAACACGGGGCAATATGCGCTTCTTTTGTTTTTCCGTGTGCATTTCATGCAGTGTGGTCGCACGAGGGGTTTTAAGCATATAAGGCGACAGGTTTGAGTTTTGGGCAATCAGGTTCTTGAAATCGCCGAAGGCATTTGGATTATTGGTTGGCGCAGGGCTTTTTGGCCGTAAGTCTAGCCAAGTGCAGAAAACTGCGCTTAGGATAGAAGTTACGTTGCACCCGATGCTGGGTTTAAAAATTAAAACTATTTTCATTGAAACTATAGTTTAGAATGCCTTGTTTTCAATGGTTGAATGCCCGCAGTTTTTAGTTCACCTTGAGCATCGTCAAGCCTGAGGATATTTGGCCATGGTCGTCGTACGTCCGTCGTCGTCCGTTCCGTCCTTCCATCAACATTTGGCTATGGTTCCAACGATAACTCAGGACCGTTTGACCCACATGTTTGCAAATTGGGTATAGTTGTTACTGGCTATGGGAGCGGTTTGAACGTCCCATTGTGAAGGCAGCCAGTCAACGTACTTTTGAGGCCGTAGCGGAGCCAGTCAACGTACTTGAAAAATTATGCAAATTAGGTAGGTTTTTGGGCAATTATATAGGGATATTATATAGACAACGCAGATAACAGCTCTGTGGTGTCACACCTGCGCTATGTCGTTTTAGCAAAGCATTTATTGACAATATCTTGTAATGGCAAAATTGGTATTTCGCTCGTGCCACCCTGCCGATAAAACGTCTATATTAGAGTAAAGTTTCACAAAAACATGTCGGAACGCAGGCATAAAACTTATTTAATTTCGATGCATCGCTAAGAACATCAAAGCAGGTATAGCGGCAATTTAACCGTCACAAATTGTGATTCATGTTTGGGTTTATTAATTTATTATTGCGATATACAGAATGGCAAACGTGTTGCTAACCAGCGCTGAAAAACCATACGAAGTAAACAGCTTCCGTGCAACAATCTAACGCCTTTGACAAAAGTTGTGGGTATGGGCAGGGAAACACGCATTGTCACGCGGGTATATAGCGCTACGTGATAAGCGTATCCTCTCAATGCTATACACGTTACAAATCGGGAGGCTCCGCTTTTTAGGCAGTGCTAAAATGCTGACATATTATAAAAACGTTAAAGTGGGCGATCATTTAGGTGTAACGCCATCACTCGGCCGCCACATCGTGCAAGACTTTTCACATCTCAAAGCATTTATTTTCCATAAAAATTAGCACATATAATTATGTAGAGTATATAAATGGAGTTCTCGCCAGTATATATCTCTTCGTTTCTATGAATGTACGTTCGATGGTTGCTCAATTTAAAAACTAACTTCTTCTCATCACACCTATTTGTGTCGCTTTTTTTTGTGGCTGAGCCTACACTGTCATTCGACATCTTCATATTTAAAGTAAACGGCTGCGCTGGTAAAATATCTGACTATTAACCGCGCGAAAAATGATGTGTATAAATCTTATAAGGCGAGTACATTGAAGCTCAGCTTGATTGTAGGCTTTTGCGGCAACATGTGGTTTTGCATAGCAACGCGTACTATGGCAATTGCAGGCATAACGCATGTGTTTAACCTTACTTATCATGAACCATCTCAATCTGTATGTGATAAGAGAGAGTTTAACGTCGTTTATCACTCGGGCTTTGTTAGCCGAACAAAAAACTTTTCGGGAGATAAACGTTCGGGAGACGGCGATCCTGTCGCGCGCACTCCTTCCAGTTGCTGTGTATGCGAATTTACGGCTTGGCCTTGCACACGACGGTAAATAACGTGAAAAGCGATGTTTGTGCAAAAAGTATGTTTATGTCAAAAGCGAAGGAAGCTACGCGGTTACCATATACATTATATATATGTGTATATTTACATCTGTCTTTATAGTCTCAGATCTCTGAGGTGGACAATGATAAGGGCACCTATCGGCCGCGTGCCCAGTTCACGGAGCCGCCCCCGCAGTCATGCGCGGACTGCTCTCACACGACCGCACACCTCTACGAGATCTCATGGTTCCAACCTGCAGCTATCGCATGGGCATGCCCACAATGGGGTACGGAGCCCTGATTCATAGTGAGTGATAGGGGAGGGGGAGGAGGTGGGGGAGGAGGGAGGAGGCGGAGGATGGGAGAGGAGGGGGTGGCTATCATATGGGTAGCCCACGAATGGGACGGAGCCCTGATCATAGGTGAATGATGGGGGAAGGAGGAGGAGGGGGAGGTGGGAGGAGAGGGGAGGAGTGGGGAGGAGGATAGAGGGAGAAAGAGGGGTGGCCTAATTCATATGGGTACACCGACGATTGGGGAACGGCAGCCCTGATTCAATAGGTGAGTGATGGGGGGAGGGGGAGGAGGAGGGAGGCGGGGGTGGGGAGGAGGGAGGAGGAGGTGGGGAGGAGGTAAAGAGCGGGAGGGAGGGGTGGCTTATCATATGGGTAGCCCCATGGTGGGGTACGGAGCCCTGATCATAGGCGAGTGATGGGGGAGAGGAGGAGGAGAGGAGGGGAAGGTGGAGGAGGAGGAAGAATATCACACATATGTGACCCGCTGCCAGCATAATACGGACTAAAAAAGTCGCAAGTCATCTGTTTTGAGTAATGAGCAGCGCACCATGTCAATGGCTGAAAATTGGCCTACTGGACAAAGAATGAGATTTTGTACAAAAAATAAGTTTCTAGTGCATATTTAATCCAGATATATAGGCTTGCAGAATATCTCTAGATTATTTATGGTCATTTTAATATTTAAAAAAAGAGAACAAGTATATTTTGAAGGGCTCCTGACGGGGCGCTCGATCCGCCCCGACTGGGCCCTTACCGGAACGCTTTATCTGCAAAGCTTGCATATTCCAGAATAAGGTTGGTTTTCCGATCTTCAAATTGCTGTAGATGCGGTCCATTCTTTAGATATAGGCCAAATTATTATATATCATTTTAAAGGTAATTAAATGATCTATTTAGATATTGGCAGCATAACTGCAATTTGTACAGAAACTTCCTACTTAATCCTGGTTTTGGCTGGAGGCAGGTCCACATATATATATATACGGACCATAGAAGACTGATGCAACACACCCAGGCAACAATACTAATTATTTCAGTAATCGGTAGTTACATCGGCATGGCGTTATTATTACGCGTTTTTAATTAACACGCATTCGTTACAGAGGAGCACAAGCAGTACGCAGTCCGCCCGTACGCTTGTGGCTGTGGAGTCCTTCCATCGCTTCCACTATTCTACGCCTACGCTCCCCGTCGGCCTCATGGCCTCCCTCCTCATCCTCGCCGCCACAGCGATGAAACGAGCCAAGGATGCTCACTCCGCCAGGTGGCAGCACGTGAACCGATGACGCCGCCGAGACGGCGACTAGAGAGGGCGCCAACGACGTCGTGTCGGGGGCGAAGCGGACGATCTTTATTCGACCTTTGTGACCGTGAACTGACCTTGGAGCGGTTTGTCTCGTCGGCTGGTTGGGCTCAGCGGCTTTGACCCTACTCGCTTAGAGTGCCTCACCCACCCACACCCCAACCCGTGTTAGTCTATGCAAATGCGGTTGTTGTTGTTGTTGTAGTTGTTGTTTATTGTTGTTGTAGTTGTTGTTGTTTATTTGTTGTAGTTGTTGTTGTTGTTGTTGTTGTTGTTGTTGTTGCACGTGCAGGTGTACCATCACTGTAAATACAACAGCGGACGTTTCTGGTCTGCCAGGGCTTTGTGTTGTTTCGGTGTTTAGATCTGCCGCCCCGAGCTAGAGGGAATATTATACGTGTTGACGCCCCCCCCCCCACCGTCCGTGTCGCTTGCTACTTATCCAAGATTTTCTACTGTGAATCATTTCTACACATGACGTCACGGCGTATTGTGTGAAATGTTTGTTTGTTTATTGTTGTTTTGTTGAGGCGTGTTTGTGTTTGCTCGCTGTGTAGCGCGATTAGTGAGCCGTCAGTGCGAGCTTCATGTTTTGTTTGTTTGTTTGTTTGTTTGGTTGTTTGTTGGAGAGGTTAACTGTTCAGCGTGAGTCGTCCGAGCTTACTGTGTTTCATCACGTGTGATCATCTTTACAGCAGAGATGTTAGCTAGTGAGCTTCATGAAACCAGTTCACAGCCGACACGCCTGCCGGTGAGATATACATACCATATCCTCTTATTTTGTAAAGAAATCGCAATGAATTAACGCGGACAAATCGGAATTGTTTGAATGATTGTTATGTAGATGCATTAATTTGTTATCGAAGGACTTTAATAATAAAGCTTTGTGCCTGGTGACATTCAACATGACGCTGTTATAGTGGTTTTATGCTGTTTGTTGTTGTTATTGTTTGTTATTAGTTAATATAGTGAGTGCGATGTCACACTGGATGGGGGGGGGGGGCAGTGAGATACTGTGGCATCACAACCGGGTGTGTGTGTGTCACTGTGTGGGTTACTGTGATATCACATTTTATGGGAGGGTCAGACTGTGACGTCACATTCGGTCGCATCTGTATCGCTGGCAACTCTCATTTAAATCGTTTCAGTCTATACGGACTTGTGGCCACCAATGCCACCAATAATTTGTTTTTTTAAAGAAAACTGCCCAGGGTGCCGAAAACAGTGCCTCTAACTGTTGACTTTTGCACGATCGCCGTAAGTATACCCTGATTTAGCGAGCAGTAGGTGTGCACCCACTGACAACGAATTGACGATTTGATTCTTTCTACCTTCTACCCCCTAAAAACAGCCAAGAAATTACAAAAAATAACGGATATGAAACGGCTGCTGTCATGAGACGGGGAAAAAACGAAAGGAGCGCCACCATTTTAGGTGTACATTAATTTTCCTATTTATTTTTCACAATACAAGCTCGTAAAACATCAAACCTAATAAACGCACAATAATTGTAATGCAACAACGATTGCTAGTGCGCGCACGCACACGAACACGCACGAACACGCGTACACGCACGCACACACAAACACAAACATGATCGCCATCTCGCATTGAGCCGAGCAAGCAATACAAAGCTTCAGCGACAGTAGCGACATCTACCGCACCGGTCCGTAAATAATAATAATACTGAAACGCGTCGCGAAATCTCGTCCCGGTTTTCCCGCGCCGTCGTGAATAAAACGAATAAAACAAGTGAACATCAACAACGAGCCGGAGCACGCCAACATGCGCCGCGGCCCGCACACGCACGCACGCACGCAAGCACACACATACGCACGCACGCACGTTAATAATATACATATATACCGCTAACGACATGCAGCTGTGGATCGGAAGGTAGCGGTTAGTAAGTCCGCAGGTAGTAGTAGTAGTAGCATTGATTGACGTGTGCAATAAATAATGATTATATACGAAGACCAGCAGGCAGCAACCACACACCGACCAATAGTATGTACAGCCATACACACGCGCATCAAGCGACACCCCAGCTAAATCCCGCTGCGGTGTCCACCACACACGCTGTGCAACTTTCCGGTGTCGCGCGAAAATACCTGACCTGTGGCGAATACCATGATATAGGATGCGTGCCGACAGGACGCAATCACAGTCGTCTTGTGTTACGATGCGTTGTGTACACTTGGACAACACGAACTGTCAATTGAAGCGTTTGTATAAAAATTTGTAATGTTTAATATTAGTTACGATTTGGATGATAGTAAAGATTCGTAGTTGATATCGTATATCCTATATGCATTATTTCGGCAGGTACAGGAATTTCGCAAACAAAGGCGAGGCTGGGATTCGGTCGGGTCGACGCATGCGCATACGCACTACGCTATAATCATGATTCGCAGCGGTCACAGGTATTTCGCGCGCACCAACCGCAAGCTTAATGGGTCTGTGTGGGTCAGTCTAGTGTGGCTGTCCTCCTACATCTCTCCACGTTACCTTCAGGCGCTCCGCGGCCTGAAACCGGGAAAGAGGAAGAGGAGAAGGAGGACCTTTATCTTTAACTGGCGCACGCTCTCTTTCTCTCTCTCTACTCTCAGCTCCTCTCATCTGCTCTCGTCATCTCTCTCCTCTCTGTCTTCTCTCTCGTCTTCCTCTCTTCTCTCTGCTCCGTCTCTCTCTCTCTGTCTTTCTCTTCTCTCTCTTCTCGTCTCTCTCTCTCTCTCTCGGCTCTCTCTCTCTCCTCTCTCGTCTCTTTCTCTCTCTCTCTCTCTCTCCTCTCTCCGCTCTCACTCTCTCTCTCTCATCTCTCTCTCCTCTCTCTCTCTTTCTCTCATCTCATGTCTTTCTCTTCTCCTTAATCTTTCTCTTCTCCTCGGCCCGATACGTCTGCTCCCTTCTTCGCGTCTCTGCTCCGCTCTTTCGCTTCCGTCTCTCTCTCTTTCTCTCTCTCCCTCTCTCTCTCTCTCTCTTTCTCTCTCTCTCTCTCGCTCTCTGTCTCGCCGTCCCTCCCTCCCCGCTATAAGTAACATCATGGAATGTCGTCGCTATGGCGACGCAGCCCCTACCATCCCCGGACGCGCCGCCGTCATCGTCGTCATCATCATCAAGCTCCCTCCACATGAGAGGACGACCACGCGGCAAGTGTGCTATCACATATTTCGCTCAATACTGGCAATACTGTCCGGGCGTAACAGGCACCACCACCCCACCTGGTAGCGCGTCTCCCACGCGCACTGCCGGCCCGGCAACCGACGACGAACATTATATGATGACGAACAGACACCATTCTCCCACACGTCGTTCATGCTACGTCGAAATACGTTATATTATATTATACAATATGCGTAGTTATGATATTGAACGTATTCTTGTTGTTGCCGTCGTCGTCGTCATCGTCGTCGTTGTCGGCGTCTCTCGTGTGCTCCCGGAAAACCGCGGATTTTAAATAAAAAACACTTCACAACATCAACAACAGAAATAAAAACAACACCAGCAGCGACGGCAGAGGCAGCAGCACTGACAGCAGCAGCAGCAGAAGCAGTGACAGCAGCAGCAGCAGAAGCAGTGACAGCAGCAGCAGCAGCAGCAGCAGAAGCAGTGACAGCAGCAGCAGCAGCAGCAGAAGCAGTGACAGCAGCAGCAGCAGCAGTGACAGCAGCAGCAATGGCAATCGTGATAAAAAGTCACTGAGAGGCAAAATTAGAATAAAAACATCTCTGTCACTGCAAGCTCGCATCGCTCTCTCCATCGCGTCGCTCCCTCCATCGCGTTGCTCCCTCCATCGCTACTGGGGTTCCTCGAACAGGGCCTTCATGTCGCTCAGCGTCGCGAACAACCGATCCTGGAACCTTGCCGAGTCTGTGTTCACGCAGGAACGGCGCGACGACACGTGGAAGAAGATTTTAGCGTCATTCGGGACCATGTAGGAAACGCCATACCCGTCGTCGGCCACGGGTCCGAAACCCCCGCCGGGGCACATCTGTAACGAAAAACGCCGCGGGGGACGGGAGTCAAAAGATGAACTTGTTTCTTGCTTAGGGTGTTTTTTAGGATAACAAAAGAGATAGGTTTTTATTTTTATTTTTTGGGCCTTTTGCTTTTTATATATTTTGTTGGATTGAGTGTTTCTGAGCAATAATCTCGCAAATATAGCTTTAAGAGGCGACGCCTAAAAAGCCTTTTGCCATTTTTTTATAGAAAATATTGCATTCGATTACATTATAGATTTCAGGGTGTCATAGGAAGCTGAAAGGGGCAAACACTTCCCCTAGATTTATAGGAGATTAATTCGCTGAAAGATTTCCTCTTAGTTTGAATCACGCATAATAGGTAATAGAGGAGAACAAGCGATGCTCTAGTTAAATGGTAGATGTATATTATAATGTAATGTATTATGTAATATATGTAGTTATATATATATATATATTATTATATAATGTATAATGTATATATATATATATATATATATATAGTTATTAAGTAATGTGTATATATATATATATATATAGTTATTAAGTAATGTAATTGTAATGGTAGATGAGTAGCAGATTGTATAAACAAATAGCAGCAGCATAGGGTTCATGCATAGCAACGTTTAGTTACAAGTACAAGGAGGTGTAAGTATGTATCTGATTATATGTCTATGGAGGAAATAGCTGCTCTATCATGAGTAGGTTTGTAGTGAGTTAATAATGAAATCCTTTACGTTTTCTCTCTCCCCCACCCCCTCTCTCTCTCTCTCTCTCTCTCTCTCTCTCTCTGTGCTGTCGACACCTCTGCGCAACTCCCTCTTCCCTTCCCTCTCCAACAGTGTTCTCTCTGTCTCTCTCTCTCCCCACTTTCTCTTCTCCTCACCCTCTCTCTCTCTCTCTGTCCTCTCTCTCTCTCCTGCTTCTCTCTCTCTCTCTCTCTCTCTCTCTCTTGCTGTCTTACACTCTCACACTCCCTCTTCCCCTCCCTCTCCACACAGTGTCTCTCTGTCTCTCTCTTCCTCTCCCACTTTCTCTTCTCTCACCTCTTCTCTCTCTCTCTCTCTTCGCTCTCTCTACTCTCTCTGTGTCTACACTCTCACACTCCCTTCCCTCCCTCTCCACACAGTGTCTCTCTGTCTCTCTCTTCCTCTCCCACTTTCTCTTCTCTCACCCTCTCTCTCTCTCTCTCTCTCTCTCTTCCCATTCTCTCTCCCTATCTTACCTTATCCTTGAAGAAGGGTAGGTTTGGGTCTGGTGATGTCGTGATCTGTGTTTGTGGCTGCTGGCTGGTGGACATCGTCCATGGACGTGACAGAACCTTACCCAGGAAGCTGGAGTCCTGTATGCAAGCAACAACAACTAGCTAGTAGAAATAATACACAATTATAACAACAATTATAAAATTATTATTACTATATTGCATATATTGTATAAATTATTACATATTATAATAATGATTTGCACAATAATGATTTTAATAATGATAATAAAATTATTATTATTAAAATCGTTATTGCACACATGTAAAATATAATACACGTGACATATTATCAATAATAATAATTATTATTATTAATTATTACCATCATTATTATTATTATCATCATCATCATCATCATCATCATCATCATCATCATCATCATTATTATTATAATCATGTAATTTATAATGATAATATATCCTTGCCCATGCGTCTTCGATATAACAAACCGTCATGCCCCCGCCCCTGCCCTCCCCCTCCCCGCCCCGCGCAGTTACGTACGTATCCGAGTCCCTTCGCTACGACGTAGAGTCCGAACAGATGTCGGTCGATTCCCATGCCGTTCATCGAGTCCTTGTAGAGACGCTGGTGCACGGCGGCCGCCCGCCGCAGCAGCGCCACCTTCGTTGCCACGGCGACGTTGTCGTCCACCATCGCCCTGCAGAGGGATGAGACGACGAGTGTTTAGGCGAGTGATTAGGCAAGTGATTATGCGAGGTTTTAGGCGAGGGTATAGGCTAGTGATTAGGCGACAGATTAGGCAAGGGTTTAGGCGAGTGATTAGGTGATGATGTCGGCGAGATGTGGAGCTTGAGATTTAAGCTTCAGTGAACTCCGCGGTTATTCCGACCTCTCAGGGACCTTACCGCGGGGCATTCTGAAATGGTTTCATGAGGTCAGGGGTCAGCGTGTGTCCGAAAACTAAATTTGGTCTTAACATTGGTCTAACATTAGTCTTAACGTGTACATTTTCTCATAGACCATGACAGAAACTAAATTAGTCTTAACATTTGTTTTAAGGATTTATTCAAAATCATTGCTCAAAAACTCACAAATCTCAAAAATAATATAGTGAAATATAGTTTCACCTCACAGCGGATATATTACTGATTACACCCAACTTGAAAAACACTAAGAATTCATGCTGTTAGAGCACAGAATTGGATGTGAATACATCGTAACACCATGGCATATTTGGCAGGTACTCTCACCTGATGAATTCTGCACATTGGTCTTTACATTAGTCTTAACATTAGTCTTAACATGAACATTTTTCTCGTAGAGTCGTAGACCGTTCGCAGAAACTATAATTACAGGTGTGTTCACCCCATACAGGGTGATAATTACAGGTGTGTTCACCTGTACAGGTGATAATTACAGGTGTGCTCACCTGTACATGTGATAATTACAGGTGTGCTCACCTGTACAGGTGATAATTACAGGTGTGCTCACCTGTACATGTAGGATATAATACAGGTGCTGCTCACCTGATACATTGATAAGCTACAGTCGTGCTCACCTTTACAGTCGATAATTACAGTGTGCCACCTGTACATGTGACTAATTACAGGTTGCTCGACCTGTACAATGTGATAATTACAGGTGTGGCCACTTGTACATGTGATAACTACAGGTGTGCCACCTGTCAGGTGATAATTACAGTGTGCTCACCTGTACATGTGATAATTACAGGTGTGCTCACCTGTACAGGTGATAATTACAGGTGTGCTCACCTGTACATGTGATAATTACAGGTGTGCTCACCTGTACATTGATATACAGGTTCGCTCACCTGTACATGTGATAATTTACAGGTGTGCTCACCTGTACATGTGATAAATTACAGGGTGTGTTACCTGTACAGGTGATAATTACAGGTGTGTTCACCTGTACAGGTGAAATTACAGGTGTGCCACCCTGTACATGTGATAATTACAGGTGTGCTTCGCCACCTGTACATGTGCATAATACAGGTTCGCCACACTGCTACATGTCGATAATTTACAGGTGTGCTCACCTGTACATTGATGATTACAGGCATGTGTATCACCCTGTACAGGTGATATTACAGTGTGTTCACACTGTACAGTGTGATAATTAAAGCTGTGCTGCACCTGCACATGTGATAATTACAGCGTGTGCTCACCTGTACATGTGATAATTACAGGTGTGTTCACCTGTACAGGTGATAATTACAGGTGTGTTCACCTGTATAGGTGATAATTACAAGTGTGGCTCACCTGCTCAGTGATAATTACGGTGTGTTCCCCTGACAGGATAGATAATTACAGGTGTGCTCACCTGCTACTGGCAATAATACAGTGTGTTCAGCCTGTTACATGTGAATAAATTACATGGTTGCTGTCACCTGTACATGTGATAATTACAGGTGTGCTCACCTGTACATGTGATAATTACAGGTGTGTTCACCTGTACAGGTGATAATTACAGGTGTGCTCACCTGACGAATTCGGCCGCCTCGCAAGTTAGAGTGCGTACGGTCTCGGTGGCGTCCGGCCAGGTAGAGACCGAGTCATCGACGCCTCGTAGTGTCAACACAAAGTGACCGGCTCCTTGGTAGAAGGTCAGCTGCAGCGCCATCTGTATCCACGCGTCCGGACTAACCTGTGGGATGGGGGGAGGCGGGCGTGATGAACATGTAATTGTGATATAGTTGAGAGTGAATGACGTAGCTTACACCTAATGCACACTTAATTTATATAATAGTATTATTATTATTATATTATATTATTATTGTATTCTATATATATAATATATATATATATACAGGGGTCGAAATTAACTTTTGAACACGGGAGTGCCAACAGACCCCTACGCCTCAACAAGAGGGAGTCCCGCAGCAAAATTTAGGGAGTCGCGTTTGAGGTTCAAAATTAAAGATATTAACAAATAATGCAATGCGGCTTATGTTTTAAGAATTCATGCAGATTGCACGTCTGCCAAATTTCTTGGACATTAGCTGAAAAATATGGTAATTCCACGAGGCCGGGCTCTGAACGAAGTAAGTTAGTATGGCAGAATTTTCAGGGAGTCACACAGACCTCCTGGCATATGTCAAATCAGGAGTCTGACAGTAAATCAGGATATTTTGACTCGGCGGACTCGCTGTCTAATTTCGCACCGTTTATATATACATATAATTAAGAGCGTATAAAGAAAGAGAGCGTACAACGGTGAAATGCTGAAACCATGTTGCAGTATTATTGATCAGCTGTCCTACCTTGCTAATATAAAACAAACCGCTTGTCCCTACGATGCTCCTACGCTGAGATAATGAGCTGTGAAAATCTTGTATTTTTGCCAAAAACCGACTCGAGATCAGTGTGTATTGTGACTGTCTCTCGTTTTGTGGCCAGTGTGTTGCTTCCGGTCGCCGCTGGTGGGGCTGACTGATTACGTCATTACTACGGAATTTACTACAGGCAGCCTGAGGTGGGGGTCATCACTATGGCAATCAATAACAACATGTCAAGGAGTAATGGCCACGTCTATGATTTCAACATTTTGCTGTTTAGCTGCTAACTGAGGCGATTTTCGGAGAACCACATCATGAGTCTTTGTTCGTTTAATCGGGGTAAGTCTAGGCATTTCTTTTTCGGTGGCAGTGCTAGTACTTGCTACAGAAAAGAGTTTCTTTCTAGGTCCAGCACTCTGGCGAGGTAGTCCAAGTTTTGGAATAGCTCGTGGAACTGAATGTTCTGCCATTGCACTGACTTCACACGTTATACAGGAAAGTTGTAAATTGTAGTCGCAGTCGACGCAGATGAACACAAAGAAAACAGTTTATGGCGATGTATGGTATGGTCTACCCAAAGTTCCTTGCTCAACAAACAAGTTTTCATTCATCTGATTTGTCAATGAATGACGGAAACACGTGAGGTTTGCCGAAGTTATCTCAAAGCGAGAGACAATCGCAGTACACACTGATCTCGAGTCGGTTTTCACCAGATTTTCACCGCTCATTATCTCAGCGTAGGGGCATCGTAGGGACATGCGGTTTGTTTTATATTAGCAAGGTAGGACAGCTGATCAATAATACTGCAAAGAATTGTCAAAATAAAACGAAGAAAGTTTATTAATTCGACTAATACTGCAACATGGTTTCAGCATTTCACCGTTGTACGCTCTCCTTCTTTATACGCTCTTAAAATATAATATATTAATTAAGTACGCATTAGGTGTAAGCTATGCCATTCACAGGGTCTCAACTATCTCACAAT